AGTTGACGGTCAAGAACCGTTATCCACTTCCGAGGATCGATGATTTATTTGATCAGCTGCAGGGGGCATCTTGGTTTTCCAAGATTGATTTGAGATCTGGATATCACCAGATGAGAGTACGCGGGGATGATATTCAGAAGACGGCCTTTAGAACTCATTATGGGCATTACGAGTTTATGGTGATGCCTTTCGGGCTCACCAACACACCGGCGACATTCATGGATCTCATGAACCGGGTGTGCAGGCCTATGTTGGACCGGTCGATGATCGTGTTCATTGACGATATCTTAATATATTCGAGATCCAGAGTGCAGCATGAGGAACATCTACGAGAGATTCTTGGGGTTTTAAGGTCGGAGAGGCTGTATGTCAAATTCTCCAAGTGTGATTTCTGGTTACGATAGGTCCAGCTCCTGGGACATCTCGTTAATCAGAATGGGATATTGGTTGATCCGGCGAAGATTGAGGCAGTTATGCGGGGGGAGGTGCCGAGATCCCCATCCGAGATCAGGAGTTTTCTGAGATTGGCCGGCTACTATCGGAGATTTATCAGGGATTTCTCCAAGATTACGGTTCCTCTCACCAGATTAACCCGGAAGGGCGTTACTTTTGTTTGGGGGCCTGAGTAGCAGGCATCATTCGAGACTCTTCGCCAGAGATTGTGCGAAGCTCCGATGTTAGCCCTTCCGGAGGGAGTGGAGGACTTTGTGGTCTATTGCGATGCGTCTATCTCAGGGATGGGTGCAATGTTGATGCAGAGGGGTCGAGTGATAGCATATGCGTCGAGGCAGCTGAAGCCTCACGAGACGATGTACCCCACCCATGATTTGGAGTTAGGGGCGGTAGTGTTTGCCCTCAAGATTTGGCGCCACTATCTTTATGGTGTTCGGTGTACCATATACACGGAGCACAAGAGCCTGAAGTATCTCATGGATCATCCCAACCTAAGTATGAGACATAGGAGGTGGTTGGATGTGGTGAAAGACTATGACTGCGAGATCCTGTATCATCCGGGCAAGGCTAATGTGGTAGCTGACGCCCTGAACGTTAGAGCAGAGAGTGCCCCGATCCGAGATCTATGTATGAGGATGATAGTGATGACTCCAATTTTAGATACCGTTCGAGAGGCCCAGGTGGAGGCCGTGAGACCGGAGAACCGCAAGAAGGAGCGGGTGATTGGGCAGGTGTTTGAGTTTACGACTGATAGTCGAGCGCTTATGACTTTCCGAGGGCGGATTTTGGTGCCCTATATTGGCGGAGCTCGCCGTATTCTGATGGAGGAGGCGCATAAATCGAGATTCTCGATCCATCCAGGAGCCACTAATATGTACTTGGACCTGAAGAGAGATTATTGGTGGCCCTATATGAAGAGGGACGTGGCTTGGGTAGTCGAGAGGTGCTTGACCTGTCGACAGGTTAAGGCCGAGTACCAGCGTCCTCATGGAAATTTGCAGCCACTAGAGGTTCCCCAGTAGAAGTGGGAACAGATTTCCATGGATTTCATCACCAAATTGTCGAGGACCGTGCGAGGTGTCGACGTGATTTGGGTGATTGTGGACCGGTTGACGAAGAGCGCTCACTTCCTTGCTATTAGTGAGAGTTCTTCTGCAGAGAGACTGGTCGAGATATATGTAAGAGAGGTGGTAGCTCGGCATGGAGTGCCGACATCGATAGTGTCAGATCGGGATGTGCGCTTTACTTCCAGGTTCTGGAAGAAGTTTCATGAGGAGTTGGGTACGCGATTGCACTTCAGTATAGCCTACCACCCATAGACAGACGGACAGAGTGAGCGGACGATTCAGATGCTCGAGGACATGCTTCGAGCATGTGTTATGGACTTTGGTGGAAGTTGGGACACATATCTGTCCTTGGCTGAGTTTTCTTACAACAACAGCCACCATTCCAGTAATGGTATGCCTCCTTTTGAGCTTCTCTATGGGAGGAGGTGCCGGATTCCTTTATGTTGGGGAGAGGTGGGGCAGCGAGTGATGGGTAGCACTGAGATAGTGCTCAAGACGACTGAGCAAATTCAGCAGGTCAGACAGAGGTTACTGACGGCCCAGAGTCGCCAGAAGAGTTACGCAGACAAGCGACAATCCGAGCTTGAGTTTCAAATTGGAGATTTTGTCCTCCTGAGGGTATCTCCGTGGAAAGGGGTGATCCGATTCACGAAGAGGGGTAAGAAAGGGCCCCGATTCATCGGTCCTTTCAGGCTGACCGCCATAGTGGGTAAGGTAGCATACCGTTTGGAGATACCTGCGGAGTTGAGTCAGATTCATAACACCTTCCACGTGTCTCATCTGAGGAAGTGTGTAGCCGATGAGACGGCAGTGGTGCCACTAGAGGACATTCAGGTGGATGCGGGCCTGAATTATATTGAGAGACCGATTGCGATCATGGATCGAAAGGTGAAGGTTCTGAGGAACAAATAGGTACCCCTGGTTCAGGTCCAGTGGTAACATCGGAGAGGGTCCGAGTTGACTTGGGAGCCGGAGTCCGAGATGCGAGAGCAATATCCAGAGTTATTTCTAGAGCATGACTTCGAGGGCGAAGTCTGATTCTAGTGGGGGAGAATTGTAACATCCGGATTTCCAGGTATATTGTTTAATTATTTATTTTTGAGGACTATTGAGCAACTCGACGAGTGGGTGCTACAACTCGTCGAGTAGAGTCGTGTTGTGCCACGTGGGATTAATGACCTACTCGACGAGTCAGAGAGTCGACTCGCCGAGTAGACGTTGGGCAGTGAAACCCTAAATCCCCAGGTTTGGGGCCTATATAAGGGCATTTATAGTCTCATTTGCGGCTCATCAGCTGCTTAACCTTTCTGTGTGAAACCCTAATCGAGTGTAGTGAGCTAAGGGAGTCTCCAAGCTAACCTTGAAGGATTTTTAGTGCATCTTTGAGAAAGAAGAGGAGTTTGTTCAGCTAGGGTCAAGAAGGAGCTGTTGGGGTTCAGGCCATTTCGTCCAGAGCTTCAAGAGGAAGGTAAAAAGCTTAAATCTTTCCCCATTGCTTGGTTAGATCTTATGAGTTGAGAAATTAGGATTTTCTTCACATCTAGTTTAAGGCTTAGAGCATACTAAGTTATCAGAGGTTTAGACCTCAGATCTGGACCTTGTGAGGTCCCTAGAGCCCAAAGGTCCCAACTTTATTCATCCATATGAGGAGTATGGTGTTTAACACCTTGTGAGAATATGTATTAGTGGATGGGAGCAAAACCACCATGCATGAGCGTAAATATCAAAACTTTACGTGACAATCGAGCCTTCGGATGGTAGATCTAGTGTTTGGAGTGATAGATCTGCCTTAAATCGTCTGAATGAGAAATCAAATCGAAGGGACTCGCCGAGTCCATAAACTGACTCGACGAGTCGGTTAGGGTTTGTCCCGATGAGCTGGACCATGCGATAGTTCGGCGAGTTAGGGGTTAACTCGACGAGCTAGACCTTCAAGAGACTTATGAGGAACGAGTGGACTCGACGAGTCGCATAAGTGCACTCGGCGAGTCAGGTCAAACTTGGACTGTTGACTCGAGTTGACTTCTGTTAACTTTAGGGTTTGGTCAACATGAGTAATGGAGACCATGGAGGGGTAAAATGGTCTTTTACCCATTCCAAGAGTTAGAGAAAAAGAGAGAACAACCTTTGGTGTATTGAGTATGAGTAGAGTATTAATTAGAGATGATTATCCTATGTTTTAGGCGGAGGCTAGACCGAGATTTCTGAGTACGAGACTTTTACTTGCTAGCTTACGAGGTGAGTCTTCTCACTATACATACCATGAGTGGTAGCTTGTGTGAATGAGATGTTTATTGTGCTTACCTGTGTATCTTAATATTCTACATTATGTCTTTGTGATTTATGCTGAGTATTGTTATTATGAGCTTACTGAGTTGGGACCGGAGGGTCCCACTGAGACACATTGACCGGAGGGTCTTATTGAGTTATAGCCTAGAGTGGCTAATGAGTTGTGTGTGATATTTTGGGGAACTCACTAAGCTTTGTGCTTACCGTGTTATGTGTTATGTGTTTCAGGTACTTCTAAAGATCACGGGAAGGTGTCGGCTTGATTGTACACACACATCAGCGTTTGAGTTATGATTTGGAGGATCCTGGAATTTTGATATATGAACAGTTTTTGATATGAGATTTGATAATTTGACATTGTGACATTTTGTGATTTTATTATTGAGATAAAGGTGTTTTTAAATTGAAAATTTTGGTTTGAAAATTTACGTTGTGACACAACTATATTGGCAGAATTTTCAAGCTTTGTGTTGGTGAATTTTTGTTGAAGGTATAAAGCTCTGGCTGGTTTACTATCAATAAAATATGTTTTATTACTTTCCAGGCATCAACCACTGTTGTTCAGGGAGTGAGAATAATGATTAATAGATGCTTAGAGATTGTCTCATATATCCATTGCAGAACAATTGCATCTAGACTATTTCTTGGACTTAGTAGTAGAATCTTTGTCGCTGGCAGATGAGGGATCGACTATTGGTTATCAGCTAGGGTTGAGAGAGAAGATGATGCCATAATAGAATAAGACCAAAACTAATTTCCCTCTCGTTCACATGAATATAAATAGTTTACAATATTAACACTTGACTACCTCTACAAATATTACAAGTTATCACAATATAATTGGCTAGTGTAACAAATATCAATATGCAGAATTAAGAACAATTAATTGCAAATAATCTTGGTCAAATATAACGGCAAATCTATTAATCTACTTTATTCCTAAACTACTCATTAATTTCACCTATGTCTATCATCGGACTTGAACCCTCAACCTCAAAGAATGATAACAACATCGGATACCGCTCGGCTAGAAGCCCTTTATAACTACAAAGATATTGATACTAACTATAAGCTTTGTAGTGGGTAAATACATCACCAATAATAAACAAACCACTATAGATAATATATAAATATCACGTCATCGGTTTCGATATTTCAACCAAAGAAACTTATTATATAGAATAATAATACAGGAAAATGTTTGTAACACAATTCAAGTGATTATCCAAGTTTTACTTGATACTCTTCGCCATTATACATATTACAACACACCCTGCCAACCAGGCAACCACAATAGCAAGTCTCAAGTTTTCCTCTTTTTACACTTCTTAAGTTCCTGAAATAACAAGAACAAAATATTACAGTCCTTTTATTTGTTAAATTTGTTTTTTAATTTTTTCTTAATTTTAACACCTTGATACCCAATTTCATTTTTCTTCTTTTCGCATATAGACATATTGGCTAGAGGCAAAGCAAACTTCCTTCTTTGGTTTTGGAAAGAATGGGGCGGACACTAAAAATTATTTACAATTTGACCGATTCAATATATACGACCTTTATCGTTATTTTTTTTACAACCACCATCACAACGATTTTAAGTTTTTTAGTTGTAATTATGATATGATATAACTATTGTTAGTTGTATGTCTCAATTTTAATTCCTAGGTACGATAACATATATAGCCTTGGATGAATTCGTTGTTTTAGAAAACATGTACACTCGCTTTTTAAGTAAGAAGTACAACAAAATAGCAGAAGAAAATGAAATGATACTTAAATTAAATAATGGTCTTATTTTAGAGTTCTCCAATAGATATTTGTAATTATATGAGTTGTGTACAATGATTTATATTTCTATGTTAACCATCTAATGACTATGTAAATAATTCAGAATATAATAAGATTATAAATTAATAAATTAATAAAAATGTCAAAAATGATTTTATTTTTTGACGTACAATTCCATTTTTGTAAGACAATAAAAAGTAGGACAAGTTTTTAAATCCAATTATAAAAGAACAACATTTTTGAAACTTACTACAAGAACAATTAGAGTAATTCATTTTACTGCATAATCCATGCTACTTTTCATTTGTGTGTTTGAATTTTGAAAACATAATTTCTTTGAAGCAATTAAACAGAAGGACTTACTTGAAAATCCATTGCATCCTCAATCCTTTCTATGATTGTTTCCATTGTAGGGCGTTCTTCCGATTTGTGACTTATGCACTGAAATGCAAGTTCTTTAAACGTTGAAAAGCAACGACTATCAATTTCATCTCTTATAAATGGATCAATTAATTTTTCGAGCCCATTCTTATAGTAGCGTCTGACCAAACTTATTAGATATTGTGGTTTACCATCCCCAAAGCTCTTTCTGTAAAAAGCCAACATCCCACTCAACAATTCAAACATCACCACCCCAAATGAGTACACATCTGACTCTTTACAAAGGATGCCACTTTCATGATAAATGGGATCCATGTAGAAGTTGGTGCCTGCAGCATTTGTATAGATATGACTACGTTGTTGATTTCTCATGCTTTCTTTCGACAAACCAAAATCACAAATTTTTGCTTCCATATTTTCATCTAACAATATGTTTCCACTCTTGATATCTCTGTGTATTACTCTGTTGTCCTCCCCTAACCCCGAGTGAAGGTAGTTGAGCCCTCTTGCTGCCCCTAAGCAGATCTTGAGGCGTTGTGTCCATGTTAAGGAATGCCTCTTATTCGGGTCTTGGAGATGATAATCAAGGCTTCGATTGCTAGCATACTCATAAACTATGATCATCTCATTGGCTTCATCACAATAACCGATGAAAGGGATGATGTTTTGATGATGGAACTTGGAAATCAAGTTAAGTTCGGTAAGGAACTCATTCTTTCCTTGATGACCTTGCGGATCAAGGCGTTTGATGGCAACTGTGCAGTTTTCCCAATGCTCAGAGAGTTGTCCCCTATAAACCACACCAAATCCACCATCTCCGATCCGAGTTTCAGAGCTGAAGCATGCGGTTGCTAAAGTGATCTCTTTTAGTGGAATTAGATATCTTTCTAGGTTTTGAGATTTTTGGTCGGGTTGGGTAATTGTAGAAACTGCTCCATGGTTCTGTGAAAATAAATAGACTTGAATTTGCTTAGAGATGGCGTGCCATTATAAGTTTCCCTACGTCACATGCTTCATTCTTTCTATAAAATCTGATCATTATGTAACCTTGTTTATATGTATATGTAAATATCTACCAAACAACTCAAACCGAATGGTTAGAGACTTTAGACTAGGCAAAAAAAAAATAATGTATGTTTCTTAGAGCATCCACAATGCATAGTATAATGAAATGGTTGAGTGAGTTGAAATGCCCAATTGACATTCAATGTATTGAACTCAACCATATATAGTTGACGTTCACTTGACTGTTCAATAGGAAAAATAAAACCTTTTTAATATAAAATGATTAACAAGTTAATGATTTTTTTTAAATATGTTACGTTGAACTTTTGTAATGTTCATTGTTTTATAAGAAAAAAACAATAAAGTTGTTTGAAAAGTGGAATAATAACGTGGCAATCCATCAAGTTCTACAGCATTCAATCCTAAACTCTATTAAGCTCAATGCATTATCAATGGTCATAGTTTGTATGACCTTGCGTTCTGAAAGGCTAATGCTCTTTATAGGCCGGATTTGACAAAATTAAAACAAATTATAATAACGTGGCAATCCATCAAGTTCCACAAGATGTTTTTTCCTTCATCACAAAACTGGATTTCCTTAAAAAAAAGTTATACGAAAAAACTTACTTGAATATCTAATGCTTCTTCAATGCTGTTGATGATCGTGTTCATTGTGGGGCGGTCCTTTAGGTTCAAACTAATGCATCGATATGCAATTTCTTTAATCACATGAAAAGAGTGAGTATTAATTTGGCCTCTTATTTGAGGATCAATTAAGTTGTCGTGTCCTTCATTATAGTAGCGTCTGACCAAATTTAGGAGTGTTTGTGGCTGATCATCACCAATCCTCCTTTTACTATAAGCCAACATCCCACACAACACTTCAAAAAGTACAATCCCAAATGAGTAAATGTCTAATTCTGTCTTAACGATGCCACTTTCACTGTAAATGGGATCCAAGTAAACCGAATTTGTGTTTACTGCAGTATGTTCAGTGACTTGTCGTTGATTTCGGTCGACTGATACTGACCATTCAAAACCACAAATTTTTGCTTCCATATTGCCATCTAACAATATGTGTGCGCTATTGAAGTCTCTATGTATTACTTTGTTGTACTCCCCAAGACCCGAATGAAGATACTTGAGTCCTCTAGCTGCTCCTCTGCAAATCTTAAGGCGTTGTTCCCATGTTATGCAACGACTCCTTTGGTAGAGATAAAGATGATGAGCAAGGGTACTGTTTTCAGCGTATTCAGAAACTATAATCATCTCATTCCCTTCATTACAATAGCCAATGAAAGGGATGATGTTTTCATGATCGAAGCTGGACATCATCTCAATCTCATTATGAAATTTATGTGCTGCTTGGTAACGATTGGGATTAAAGCGTTTAAAGGCCGCTGTGAGATTTTTCCATCGTTCAGAGAGTATTCCTTTGTAGACCGAACCATTTCCATCATCCCCGATTCGAGTTTCTTTACTTAGTTCATTAGTGGCCAAGTTGATTGCGGTTAGTGGAATTAGAAAGCGTTCTAAATTTTGATATGGGTAGCTTTGAGCGATAGTGGTTGAAGTAGCTCCGTGGTTCTGTGAAAATAAACATAAACGACTTTGCTCAGGGAACCTTTTTATTTTGCCATGGTTTAAAGCATCACAATACATAAGGTTAAGGGAATGGTTTGAGACGGAGGTAGATAAACACCGGTTTTATACCAATTTCGGTTAAAATAACCGGTTTTTTTAAAAAAAAAAAAAACAGTTATAGGAAAACTGGTTTCGGTTATAATCGGTTTGGTTTTTTCAGTTTCTTTCGAAATAAAATTTTGTTAAAAAATCAGGTTTTTCGGTTTAAAAACCGGTTTCAGTTTTGAAAAAAAAAAAACTATGTCAAATCAACAGTTTGGTTTTAACTGAACGGTTAAAAAAGCCGGTTCGGTTATTGTGGGTGGGTTACAAAAAACCGGTTAGCTAGTATTGTTCACCTCTAGTCTAATATGAGGTGCAATGCTTACTTGGTGTTCAATGAATATGAAGATCATGAAAAAAAATTAACTTTTTAATATATAATAATTAACAATTAAATGGTTTTCATAAAAATATGTTTTTTAAATTTTTGTAGAGTTTAATACATTGAATGATAAAAATAATAATGTTGTATAAAAATTAAAATGATCATGTTGTAAGGTATATTTTTATGACAATATTCCAATATATATATATATATATATATATATATATATATATATATATATATATATATATATATATAATGCATCCATAAAAATAGATAAAAAAAATGAAAAAAAAAACTAAAATTATAAAGCAATTTCATGTTGTATTAGTTATCATTATTGCGTATAAACTAAATTTCCTTTAAATTATTCAAATGAAACAAAAAAAAAAAAAAAAAAAAAAAAAAAAAAAAAAAGAAACAAACTTACTTGAATATCTAATGCTTCCTCAAGTTTCTTGATTATCATATCCATCGTAGGGCGATCCTCCACTACGAAACTGATACACTTATATGCTACTTCTTTAAACATCTGTAAAGATTGACTATTGATCTGATTTATTATACACGGATCAGTTAACTTCTCCACCCCATCATCATAGTAGCGTCGGACAAGATTAAGCAGAGTTTGTGGCTTATGATCATCGATGCTCGTTGTAGAATCAGCCAACATCCCACTCAACATTTCAAACAATACGACCCCAAATGAGTAAACATCTGACTCGATCTTGACTACACCACTTCCATGGTTAATGGGATCCATATAAAACCGGGTACCCATAGCCTTTGCATTGTTTCGAGTATTTCGCTGTTTTATGTTGCTAAATTGTGACAAACCAAAACCACAAATTTTTGCTTCCAAATTGTCATCTAGTAATATATTTGAGCTCTTCACAGCTCTGTGAATTACTGGGATGCCCTCACCTATACCCGAGTGAAGATACCCAAGTCCTCTTGCTGCCCCTATGCAAATCTTCAGGCGTTGTGCCCATGTTATGCAACGCCTATTAATCTCGTCTTTAAGACAATGATCAAGGCTACCACTGACAACATATTCATAAACAATAATGATCTCACTGCTTTCATCACAGTAACCAACGAAAGGGATGATACTTTGATGGTGAAACATAGAAATCATTTGGAGCTCGTTATGGAACTCGTGTTCTCCTTGTTTACTACCCTTATTAATTCGCTTGATTGCAACAATGCGGTTTTCCCAACGTTTTGAGAGCTGACCTCTGTAGATCACACTGAGTCTACCATTTCCGATCTGAGTTTCATGACTGAAATCTGCCGTTGCCAACTTGATCTCCTTCAGTGGAATTAAAAAACTTTCTAGGTTAACCTCTGAAGAAGGCATTGTTTTTGGATATTGGTGATTTTGTATGGTTATGGTTCTGTGCAGATAAACAGATCTGAGTTTGCTTAAAGAGATTAGACCCCCCTTAGGTTTTTTAAGAATATCGTAAAGAGGTTGACTTGAACCAAGTGGCTTTAAATCCAACTACTTCACATGTTATCATTTATGTTTCTTAAAAAATATTATAAAACTGTCGACTGGAACCTATATATTATAGTTATAAAGTGAGATTATTTTATAATAAATTAAAATTCATGGGAAATTAACAAAGATTATTTATAGTATTTGAAAAAAAGAATGATTTGTTTTTTGAAAAAAATGTATATGTTGAAATGGTTCTGTTTCTGAAAGGCAAAGCACAAGTATGTATACTTTTTATTCAAATTTGGAAAAGCACATTTGTTCTTTATTCAATAATCATGAACTTTGGTGTTCCTTTATATCATTATTCCAATTCATATTATTGGCTAATTGTTCATTATTTAAAACAATTTGCTGATCTAAATGAACATATGCTGATGAATTTTATGGAATTTGTGACCAAGTGATTTTTTTCGGGTTAACTTGTGTATATGTTTAGGGTTCTTCATTATTTGAATAAAACCGAATTGTCCAATTTGATAATTTAGATCAGACTATTTGGTTCAGATATTCAGATGTTTGGATTGGTTTTAGCAAAACCGAATTATTATTTTGGATTTTGAATTGGTTTTAGTTTATAATTGAAAACCGAATAGTCCAAAAAAACTGAATAATATTTATTATTTTGTTATTTTTAATATATATCTTTAATTATTTATAAATTTGCTAAATTATTTTTAGTAGATTAAAAGTTTTCATCTATTATAATATTTTAATATGTATTTCTTATCAAAAGCTTTTGTCTATAAAATGGTAAACTATAATATATTTTTATTGTAGTTGTTTATAAATTTTAATTCACAACTAATTAAATAATTTTCTTTGGTTTCGATTATAAAGTGGGTCAATACTAAAGTTATATATTTATTAAAACGTCTTGATTCTTGAAAATCAAATTGTAAAAACTGATCCAATCGAAATATTATTTGGTTGGATTGGATCGGATTTAAATTTAGATTAGAATATTTGATCCGCGTTTTTGAAAACCGAAATCAATTTCGATTCACTTGATCGGATCGGTTCAAACAGATCCACCAAACGAACATCCCTACATATGTTGATAAACCATGTATCACATTCCTTTAAGAATGTTATTTTTTTATGTATTTTAATTTTAATAGTAGTTTTTTTGTATGCCATTGGTATATTTTTCTTATTTTCTTTAAAATAAATTAGCACGATGTGTATATGTTAAATATTTTGGTAGATTTTTTATCTTTTAAAAGTTGTTTAATATTTTTGCATATTTTTTCAAGAATGAGAGTTTGTGCCGGCAGAATTGTAGGATCATTTAGATTCTATAAGATGGAAATCAAGATTCAACCAACATAATCAAATGAACACGATGATGTAAATAAGATCTGGTTTTCAATTAGAGAGTAAAAGACATACAATTACAATTATGTAAGACGTCTCTCAAAAGATACTCTCTATTACTAACAAAATATCCTTATATATGAGACATGCTCTGACTAATAAAGTTAGGACACTGTAACATCCCGACTCTCAGGTATAATATTTCATTAATTTGCATTCATGATGTCAGAGCAACTTGACGAGTTGGATGCCCCAACTCGCCGAGTAGAGGTGTTAATGGCCGCGTGATTCTTAGAGTCTACTCGACGAGTTGGAGGACCCCAAGTCGACGAGTAGGAGCCGAGTGAGGGAAACCCTAATTTTATGAGTTTGTGTCCTATTTAAAGGACCTTGAGCCCTCATTTCCGCCTCCCTTATCATCTTATCACTCTGAGAGAAACCCTAATCGAGCTATAACCTTGTGTGAGGGAAAAAGAGGCTAATATTGTGCATTTTAGTGCATTTTTGGAGGAAGGTTGAGGAGCAAAAGGCTTGGGACGAGAGGGAGCTTTTGGATCCGGTGTTCATTCATTCCTAGCTTCTGTTTGAAGGTAAAAAGTTTCCACTTTGCCCATTGTCTGGTTAGATCTCTTTTCTAGGGAGTTTAGGGCCTTTTTCCATCCCTCTTTGAGTTCTAGAGTTGTTTGAGCTTGCCATGGAGTTAAGATTTCAGATCTGGTCAATATGAAGTCCCTTGAGCCCAAAGATCCAAGCTTTATCAAGCTAGTGGCAAGCTTTTATGCATTAAACCCTATATAAAGCTTGTTTTGGCATTTCGAGCCCTAGATGTCATGCATGAACGTAAAGCTTACAGCTTTACGTGGGATGTCAGCATTGGGAGGCTAGATCTAGAGTTTGGAACCTTATTTCTATTTGGAATCGTCTGAATGAGAATTGGTCTAGAGGGAATCGGAGAGTGCATGAGCCAACTCGACGAGTCAGTTAGGGTTTTCCCCGATAGACTGGACGCGCTACAACTCGTCGAGTTGATGAGACAACTCGACGAGTTGAGTTGGAATTTCCCGATACTTCAGAGAAAACGAAGGAACTCGACGATTCACATAGATGCACTCGACGAGTTTAGTCAACATGGGCTGTTGACTTAAGCATTGACTTATGTTGACTTTTAGGGTTTGGTCAACTGTGGACCGTGGAGACCATGGAGGGGTAAAATGGTCTTTTCTCCCTTTTTGAGATTTATTGGAGAAGCTGGCTTAACATCTCGGAGTGGTTATTACAAATTTCTTATTAAAGATAATTATATTATGTAGGCGGAGTCTAGACTATTCGTGGGTTGCTAGATCTACTTGCTTACTTACGAGGTGAGTCTTCTCACTATACTTACTTGAGTGGTAATACTGTGTGACCGTAGGGTCTTATTTGAGTTATCTACCGGAGGGTCCTATGTGCTTATATTGAGTTATGTGATATTATGCATTTTGTCTCTGTGATATATGCTATATTTATGTGCTTTACTGAGTTAGGACCGGAGGGTCCAAACCGAGTTGTGAGACCGAAGGTTCTTCACTAAGATACAGGACTGGAGGGTCCAACCCGAGTTGTGGAGTCCAGAGGGTCTTCACTGAGACACATGATCGGAGGGTCCACACCGAGCCATGAGACCGGAGGGTCCTCACCAAGACGCATGATCGGAGGGTCCATGCCGAGTTATAGCCATGAGAGGCTTATTATTTGTGTATGTGGTATTTTGGGGAATTCACTAAGCTTCGTGCTTACCGTGTTATGTGATATGTGTTTGAGGTACTTCTCAGGATCGCGGGAAGGCGCCGGCTTGATTGTACACACATGTTCTGTAACACCCCGACTCCCATGTATAATTTTCGAAAGCCTTATATTCATTTTACTGAGGGGACTCGACGAGTTGGAGGCCCCAACTCGTCGTGTCGAATCTAGTTGGCCCGCGTGATTTATGATTTCTACTCGACGAGTCGGAGGACCCCGAATCGACGAATAGAGTTTGTGCATGAAAACCCTAATTTTTAGGGTTTGTACCCTATTTAAAGGACCTTAAGTCCTTTCCTCCAGCCCTTTACTACCTCTTGACGGCCAGAAGAAACCCTAACCACCTTAGACCTTGTTCTTGAGTGTTCGTGAGGATTAAAGAGTGTTTTGGTGCATTTTGTGAAGGAGGCTTGAAGTTTAAGGAGCTTGGATCAAAGAGAAGCTTGTGGATCTGACTCTACTTCATCTTGGCATCATTCTAAAGGTATCAAGTCGTTACCTAGACTTATCTTTAGCTAGATCTCTTCATGCTTAGGTTTAGGGCCATTTATAGCATATTTGTGAGCCATTTTAGGCATTGGTCATGATCTAAAGTTGTAACTTCAGATCTGGACTTCTCTAAGTCCCTATATGTAACATCCATAAAATTCAAGCCAATTTAAAACTTTTTCAACCAATTAAAAACCATTAATTATTACAAAGTGTTTTCAAAATAGTTTCATGTCAGAGTATCCCAGAAATCAAAATCATAAAATGTGAAGAGATGTACGATCACGCATTCGCCTTCCTGCGATCATCAGAAGTACCTGAAACCAAAAATGAAATTGTAAGCTCGAAGCTTAGTGAGTTCCCCCAAAATACCCATACACACAACAATATACATATAATCACAAACAGCATATTATGGGTTCAGTCAACCATCGGGTTGGAATACCCCAGGCCCTCAACCATCAGGTTGGAATGCCAACATACTATGGGTCCAGTCATCCTCGGGATGGAATACCCCACGCCCACAACCATCAGCTTGGAATGCCCACATATTACGAGTCCAATCATCCTCGAGATGGAATACTCACGGCTCACAACCATTGGGTTGGAATGCCCGGGTCTGTTGGCTCTCGCACAAAGCAGATAAGCCTCAACCACCAATCAAACATGTGCACATATATATCAGATAATCACATAACAGTCTATAGACAATCAAACCAATCTAACAGATCATAACAGCATAATAACATCCTATCTACTAGGATACCGATCTAACAGATCATAACAGCATAATACCATCCTATCTACCAGGATACTGATCTAACAGATCATACTAGCATAACATATCCGGATAACAATCCAAAAGGGCTGGCCTTGGTGCCTTAGACCCTTGAGTATAGTGAGGAAAACTCACCTCACAACTTTCGGACTGTAGTGATAAGATCAAACCCTCAAATCACAGCCATGAACTCCACCACCTATATTCACCATAGGAACACTTCCATAAATTCCCAATTTACTAAAATACCCCTAGAAGTCAAACTGGTCAACCCTTGGTCAAGGTCAAAGTCCACGGTCAAGTTTAACAGTCCATGTTGAGTCGACTCGTCAAGTGCAGCTAGCAACTCGTCGAGTTCCTTAAGAACTCAAAAATCACCAAAACCCTAATTGATCCACCGTGTTTCCAACCAACTCGTCGAGTCCATGCGTGTCCAGATGTCAGGAAAAACCCTAACTGACTCGTCGTATCCTCTTACTGACTCACCGAGTTCATGCAGAATCAAATACGGACAGTTCTTCATCCGACTCGCCGAGTCGGCTATGCGACTCGTCGAGTTCATGCAGTCCATTTCTTATCCAGACGTTTTCAAGCCACC